TCTCTGGACCTCTTCTACTGCAGCAACTTTCATTCCCTGCCATGGCCTCTTTGTGGACCTTGCAATCACTAGGGATTATTCCATTGCTGAAATCTTAAAATGCCAAACGTCATACCTTTTCTTCAACCTTGTCCTTCTAACTCTCTAATTTCTTTACTCCCACAACCCCTATCTACTATGCCAGTTCTTCAGCTACTATTATTGTTGTAATAAAGTGTCCTTCATCTCAGACCTAGGAGTCCCTTGTGTTCTAGCATCCACAGAATTGTGCTAGGGTAACTTATTTGCTTGTAAGTAAGGTAAAATCTCACATGCTCTATAGTTCTTAATCCCAACTTCCCATATTCTTGGTGCAGAAACTTTGGCATTTCTCCAGGGTTTAGGTATGAAAAGACAAGTCCTGAGTCCCTTTCAGTCCTGAAGGATCTACTTCATTCTAACTAAATATGCCAGATGTAGCCTGAGCTTTATGGCTGTTCCAGCAAGATAACTGAGGGCTGGAATCTCACCATATCCTCAGTTCACTACACTGTATTATAATATAAATGTGTATTTAATTTCTGATTTAATTCTGTTGTGGGGGTATGTGTGCTTCCTGTGCATTTCAATTGAAAATCTAAAAATTGACACTCTTAACTAGTGTTATGCACCATATAAACAAATGTTGAATAAATAGCTCTTCTTTCAATTTCTGGGTATTCTACATTATTCATTGTATGTTTATGAATTCTTACATTTAAACTATTCTTTGACAAATAGCAGGATGGATTTATTTCTTCAGAATATGTTGAATGGGTTTACAAAGTTTTTTGTAAGGAACAATATTTATTCTAAATTATTAATATTTTATTTCCATAGACTGTTTGCTGTTTTGTGGATTTTGTGCTTGTCAGGAATCTTGAGGGTGAGTTATTTTAGAATGATAACTTGAAATATAATTCTGGCCATGTCAACATAAATACTATACTCTCAAAACAGCTGTCAGAGGTATAATCTTAAGATAGGATACTTCATTATAATTATCTGAAACATTTGTATAGAGTGGTTATAAAATTATCTTTTGAAAAATCAAGGTCTTATGTTAATCAGTATTATTGATAGAAAGATGAACAAACGAGTTTTAAAGGCCCTCATTTGTAATTGCCAACCTCCAAGTGGCACCTATCATTACTAAAAAATTTTTTTAGTAGTTTATATTTGGGATGCTACTGTTCAAAGTCAGTGGGTTATCTAGTAGGGGGATATCCATTGATTCATCCAGTCACTCTTTCATCTATCAGAAGCCAGGGTGGACCTGCTTTGCCTTTTTCTACTTTTAACATTTGTATTCAAAGTTGTACAGCATTATTAAATATATAGGTATGTAGTATATGTAACTTAAGAGCAAGTAATTTCAGTATGCTTAATACTGTTCTTACTTATTACTTTAATGTTTTGCCTACAGTTATTTTTTTATAGTGAGACAGTGGAATTGGTTGTGGCTGCTGTAGGAGCGCTTCTTTTCTGTGGATTCATCATCTATGACACACATTCACTGATGCACAGGCTATCACCTGAGGAGTATGTATTAGCTGCCATCAATCTCTACTTGGATATCATCAATCTATTCTTGCACCTGTTGCGACTTTTGGAAGCAGCTAAAAAGTGACTGAAAACAAGATATGTAAAATGATTAATAAAGTTTGAAACAACTATCAATTATTACTTTATTTGTATGCTATGTACTTCTGAGCTATTACTATACTATAATATAGCAGGTTCTTAATATTTTGTCCAGTGAGAAAAAAAATCCAATCCCAGTAAGGGCCACTATCGGTGTATAGTTTGCAAGTTTTCCCCATGTCTGCATGGGCTCTCTCTGGATACCCTGGTTTCCTTCCATATCCCAAAGATGAACTGGCACGTCTAAACTGTCCCAGTCAGAGTGAGTGAGGGTATGTGTGCCTCCTGTGATGCGATAGCATCCTGTCCAGGGTTGGTTTCTGCCTTGAGCTGCTAGGGTTTTTTTTATTTTATTTAGAAAGGAAAAATTTTAAAAGATAAATTCCAGAGAATTATTCAGAATTGTATTAAAGTGTTAATGACGTTTCATCATAAAATGTATTAAAAATTAATCTGCTTGAAAGTCAGATAAAATTTGACTTTTTTTTAAGTGCAGGTTTCATTTTAAAATTATAACTGTAAACTAGTGGCCAGTGAAACTTTGGCAAGTTTCCTCACTGTAATACTTTATTGAGATGCCATAACGAAGTATTACAGCCTGGGTAGCTTAATCAGAAATGTATTTTCTCACAGTTCTGAAGGCTAGAAGTCCAAGATCAAGGTGTTGGTGGGATTTCTCTGAGGCCTCGCTTTTGGCTTGTCATTCTCCCTGTGTTCTCACATGGTCTTTCACTATACTTGTCTGTGTGAAATTTCTTCTTCTTATAAGGACACCAGTCATATTGGATTAGGAGACCCCAGTGATCTCATTTTACCTTAATTACCTCTTTTGGACCCTATCTCCAAATATAGTCACATTCTGAGATACTAACAAGAGTTAGGACTTTGCAGTGGTCTGATCTGAATGTTTATGTCCCACAACCTAATGCCCAGTGTGATGGTTTCAGGAGGTACAGCTTTGGGGATGTGATTAGGTCATGAGGGTGGAGCTCTCATGAATGGGATTCCTACTCTTAAAAGATTAGAGACCCTGTAGAGATCTCTCACCCATTGTCCCATGTGAGGTTACAGTGAAAAGACATAGTTTGTGAACTAGAAAGAAGGCCTTTACTGGACATCAAATCTGCCGGCACCTTGATGTTGGACTTTCCAGCCTCCAGAACTGTGAGATAAATTTCATACAAGAAGCAACCAATGAATGCATAAATAAGTGGGACACAAAATGTTTCTCTAAAAGTTAATCAAATCAATACAAACATTTAAAGATATATATTTTTATTTATTTTTTATATATTTTTTATTTATTTCAGAGAGGGAAAGGGAGATAGAAACATCATGAGAGAGAATCATTGATAGGCTGCCTCCTGCATGCCCCCTACTGGGGATGGAACCCACAACACCAGAGAAACATCAATTGGCTGCCTGACTGGGAATTGAACTGCAACCTGGTTCATAGGTCAATGTTGAACCACTGAGCCACACCGGCCGGGCTAAACCATTTTTTATTTTTTTAAAATATATTTTATTGATTTTTTAAAGAGGAAGGGAGAGGGATAGAGAGTTAGAAACATCGATGAGAGAGAAACATCGATCAGCTGCCTCCTGCACACTCCCCACTGGGGATGTGCCCACAACCAAGGTACATGCCCTTGACCGGAATCGAACCTGGGACCCTTGAGTCTGCAGGCCGATGCTCTATCCACTGAGCCAAACCATTTTTTAAAAATGTAAAACAATGCCACTGTTTTCAGTAAATTGTTTTTTGTTTTGGGAAATACACTTTTTAAGGTAAAACGTAGACATGTAAATAATTTATCTTTTAAAAATGGTATCAGGTTTTCCAAAAATTGTTGTAATTTTTGGTATGAAACATATTGTAATTTCTCAGAGTGTACAGAAATCACTACACCCAGAAGTTTGAAAACCATTGGTGTAGAGTATTATAGTTTATGAATGAACCATAGTTATTCATACATTCTTCTGTTACTGAATTTTATATGGTTCCTCCTTTTTTACCATCATAATCAGTCCTGCTCTGTATGTCCCTGTATGTTTACCAGCATGCACAGATAACAGAATTTGTCCAGGTAGGAAATATACCCGGACGCAGAATTACTGGATAAAAGGGCACGTGCAACTTCCGTTTTTTTTTACATCAAGTAAACGTGAAAATACAGACTCCAGAAATACTAAAAAAGTGGAATTAGTGGGACTCAGAGTGACAGGCAACTCCATGTGTAAGGTACAAAATGCAGTCAGAGAGGTAGGAGCAGGATCTGAGAACTGTTTTGACTGAGTGCAATTTGAGGAAAGAGGTGCAGCAGACGCTACCTAACTGGCCTGCATGACTTTTCTCACACCTGGCTTCAGTCCACTTCCATCAGGGCCTGGACAACATGGAGTCACCATCTGAGTCCCAGCAGTCTTCCTATTTCACTGAGTGATTATGCACAGCAGGGGTTCCACACAGAGGCCTGGCCGGGAAGGCGGAGTGGGGGTAGCGGGGGTAGAGGGGTGGTGCCGCCCGGACTGGCTGGTGTCTATAGTGCAGTATGCCTTTCAGATGGAGAGACAGCCCACTTCCGGCCAGGTACGCAGTGCGACCCACTGTGCCTCCCGTCCCACAGCATCCGTCCACCCCTGTGAGGGGGAGAAAAGCAATGTCCACTTTGACCCCCGAAGCCTTGTCCTTCCATCAGGGGTTAAAGTTTCCTGAAGTCCGTAGTTAGGTTTCCTTCATCTTTGTATACCCCGCATAGTGCTCATCACAGAGTACACACTCAAATGGATGAAGGAAGGAATGGATTAGGGGTTTTTAAATATTCCAAGGCCACTTAACTATTCTGTTAGAACTGCTTTTATACAAACTGGCGAGAAGCTTAGGTTAAAATTCAGGGTTTTAAAGCATTAGTAATGCTGAATTATGGCATATATTTAACACCAAGACATTTTCATAAGTTTATCTTTTTCTCTTTTCTTGTGCCAAATGTCTATTTAAAAGCCTTGGCCTGGTATATTAAGCAAGATGCAATCAATCTGAACTACGTAGAAGTGAGCTTTCTCTAAGACGCAGTACAAACATTTATTTTTGAAAGAAGTTCTAATACAGGGTAGGGAACGTCCGGCCTGCGAAGTCATTTGGTCTGTCTCTGCCAAGGCATTAGGGGAGAACTAATTAAATGTTTGACCAAATACAGCGGGCTAATTTTTTTAAAAAGCCCCCTACCCTAGGCCTTTACCACATTATAGTTTGTGTCCATGGGAGGATGATTCGGTGTAAGAGAATCCATTAGTACTGTGTGAACGTGAGAGCTAAAGGCCGGCTCTGAGCTCCTTACCTGGCAGCAGGGACCGCTGGTCAACGTCACTCGTTGGGTTAAAATGTCAGACTGCCGCCGCTGCGCTCGGGAAGCGGGCCTGGCGGGCGCCCCAACCTCGACCGGGGCTCTTCCGCATTCTTCAACTTCCGCTTCGGAACCTGTTTGGGAGGAGCCAGGCCCCAAGGCCTGCAGGCGACCAAAGGCCGGAAGCGCGTCAGCGTTCAACTTCAGAAGACCCCGCCTCTGGAGGCATTCCCGGACATTCGGCTCCCAGCGTGCAACGCGCCAGGGGGCGGGGCGGCGCGGTGTGGAGAGGCGGCCCGGAAGGCGGAAGTGCTGGGCTTCCGGTCGTCTGGAGCGTGTGTTCTGTGAGTGGTGAACCTGTAGAGGTAAGCGGGTGTCCTGTGGCGCGTGGGACTTGGGGCTCCGTTCTGCCTCTCGTAGAGAAGCCCGCCTGCAGTCCCGTCCATCACTGGGCAGGCTGAGGTGCAAGCCGCTCCTGGGGGCAGGGGCCTCTCGTCTCGGCGGCCCTCGGGCATCGGTGTTCCGGGCGAACTGGAGTCCGTCGTTCAGTCTGGCTCGGGTTAACCTCGGCCCTCAAGACTGTTGAACGAAATCCTTCCATCCCCACTGCATACGGGTTTGGGGTTGTTATTCACAAGGGAAAAGCCTGAGTTTGTGATTGCTGGCGTCCAAAGAAATGGTACCCACTAGTCATTATTAATTCAGCAAGTCTATTTAACCTTTGCTATGTGCAGAGAGTTAGGTATCGGGGGACCCAACGGTGAAAAAGACCGATGTAGTCCCTGCCCAGTGGAGTCACAGTCCATCGGGGGTGACAGAAAATAAACTCAATTTCAGACTGTAGCACATCTTAAAAAGGAAGGGGAAGGATCTGTCATAGGAGATACTAGGAGGGGAGCTAACGGGCAGAGAAGTCCTTTCTCAGGCAGTGAAGTGAAGAGCAAGCCTTGAGAAGATGGGTTCTCAGGCACAGGAGAGCAAATGGAAAGGTCCTGATGTGGACATCGTGTGGACTTTTTCCCACCCAAGCCGTGTCACAACGATTTATATAACTGCGTTATGGATGTATAATTAGCACAATAGACTTCATATGTTTAAAGTGTGTAATATATATAAGCTTTGATAGGTGTATGCAAATATAAATCCAGCACAATTAAGAGGATGTTATAAATCACTCTCAAAACTATCCCTAAAAACTCTTTATAATCCTTTCCTTCCCCCCTCTCATCACATCCCCACTGTCCCTGCATTGTCACCAGTTGGACTTTTTTCAGATGCAGTTGGGGGTGAAATGGAACATGAGAGAGAGTTGAAGGAAGCAGGAGTCAGGTCACAAATAACCTTGTAGATCTTGAAGATAGGAGGTGGAAAGTCATTAAGGAAAGGCAGTCATGTGCTCCTAAGTTTTGTGTTTTCATGTTTGTTTGTTTTTTAAATTTTATTTTTAGTTGATTTTAGAGAGGAAGGGGTGGGGGAGAGAAACATCAGTGTGAGAGAGAAACTTAGATCGGTTGCCTCCTGCACACACACCAACAAGGGATCAAATCCAAAACCTGGATATGTGCCCTCACCGGGACTCGAACCCACCACCTTTTGGTATGCGGGATGGTGTTCCAGCTATTTGAGCCACACTGGCCAGGGCTGCTCTAAGTTTTTAGAAGCTCACTAATCACCTTGTGGAGGATTTAGGGCTGGGAATAAGGGATGGAGAGAAAGCAGCAGTGGAATTGGACAACTTTAAGATGGCTAGATTGACTTGAAGGGGTGGGTAATGACGACTTGGGTGTGTGTCCTGTAGGATTGAGTGAAGTCAAAATTCAGTTAAAAGAGATATTTATAAAAGCATTTTGTGATTTGTGAGTCGTTGCCTAAATGTAAGGTGATGATGCTCTTTGCATTTTGGGGGAAATTAAATTTTTGCATCTTGTATGGAAACTCCAGGAACTTTCAGAATTGGCTTGACTTATAGCTAGTGAGTGACCAAGGGGAATTTGATTTGGTGTTCTTAATTATTTAATGGCTGTACATGGCCATGTTGATCCACACAGAAGTTGCACATTAAGCCAACATAAATCATGAACAGAGTAAAGAGCTTTACCTTCCGTTTGTTTATGTTTTGTAGAGATACCTTTTGATTTGGTTTTCCCAGCATTTGCCCCTCTTTGATGGTACATATTTACTTTTTAATATGTATCTTTGTTCACTTTCCAGATAAAATATGGCTAAAAGCTTACGGAGTAAGTGGAAAAGGAAGATGCGTGCTGAAAAGAGAAAAAAGAATGCCCCAAAGGAGCTTAGCAGACTTAAAAGTATTCTTAAAGTAGATACTGATGTTTTAATGAAAGATGTTCATGAGGTAGCAACTGTGGTGGTCCCCAAACATTCTGAAGTGAAAACCCAGTGTGTGGTCAAAGATGACAAAGGTGAGTTAAAAAAAAAAATTCTGTCAGTTTCCTTTTATGACTTTTTTTCTTTTTTCCTGTCTTCCATTCACTCCCACACTTGCGTCCCTACAAACCTCCTGCCATGCCCACATTATTCTTTGAAGGCTTATGGTGCTGCTAGAGATTCTGTGCTAAACTATTTTATAGCCAGTTCATGTGAATAGGCACGTTTGGGGATATGCAGAGTGGGCCTTTGATGTTTATACAATAGCCCAAATGTCTCAGAAATAGACAGTGCTATAGGAGTAGGCAAACCTAGACATCCTCATTGGAAGGTACACAATTCAGTCAGGGACAAGGCAGGACAAAGGAGATCTTTCTTCATTTTACCCTTTGCAAGAACTAGTTCCCATTCTGAGAGTCCTCTGTACTTACATTATCCTGAAAATTCATAAAGTTTCCCTGTATTTGATTTTGACAGATTTTAGAGACCTCTTTGTCTTAATTATTGTCTAAAATTGGAGGCTGTATATTATAGTTTCAATACAGAGAAAGACTCATTGGTTTTCACATGGTTAATACACTACTTTGACAACAAATTAAATTAAGCACTCACAATACTTAGAGTCTTAAAATAGAAGTGTATTTATGTGGTGTACAGTGATCAAGGAAAAGAGCAGCATTCCTTAACTTTCTAATCCTAGAAATTTCCTTTCCCATTCTTCACAGTGTCTCCCCATCTAGTAATCTACCTGTTTTCAATATGGTTCCTCACCTCTGCTTTCAAGTTCATGTTTCCCCTTCCACTCCTTCATCTGCCCACTTAATTTCTTAAGCCACAAACCTCACAGTTATCCTTGATTCCTCTTTCCTTTTTCTCCCACATCTAAACAATTAGCACATCTTGAGTATCTTCAAAATTCAACAGGAATCTATTCGTTTTTCTCATTTATGCTTTCACTTTAAATGATCACTATCTCTTGACTGAATTATGATAGTAGCCTTTTCTTTCTTCAGCTCTTTTTCCCTTCTGATTTTTTTTCAGCCTATCAATCATTGTGATCTTTTTAGAATATAAATCAAGTTTTATTTTCATGCTTAAAACACTACATTGTCTTTTCATATGCTTACCAGAGTCCACCATGTGTTACTAAATCTGATTCTGATAGACAGAGGTCCAGAACCTGTCTTTAAAAAACTGCTTACCACAGGCTGAAGTTTACTCTGTTATTCTCCTCTCAAAAGAACGTTGTAAACTCCATGAGAGCAGGGAGGTTATTTGGACCACTATGTCCCTAGAATCTAGAATAGCACCTAAAATAATCATTCATCAACTAGTTATTCCAGGTACTATGGAAATAATGAATATTAGAGAAAAGGCCTCTATTCTAGTAGACTTGCCATTGTTTTAGAGAAGAAAGAAAGTAAACCAGATAAGTGAATGTCAGGTGGTAGAAAACATGGAAGACCTTGTATACTTTGGTCAGTTCCCAGGGAGGGCCATTCTGGGCATGTCCTTCACAATAAGTAAGGTTGGTGGTAGATGTACCACAGCATGGTTGCACTGAGCTTCCTGCCAAGTCTCCTGTTAGTAGAGCTGGATTTCTTCATGTCATCTGGCTAGAAAAGTGTGGTGGCCCCGAGATATATCCAGTCATTCTCTATTTTCTCTCCATCTCTGTTATCTAAATCCTGCTGCTTACTGCTCCTCCTCCTCTTCCTAGTTCACGGCATTAGAAATGGCCATTCATTCCTAATCAGCTCATTTACTTCTGAGGCCTGTCCATTAGAAGTGTGGGTACAGTTCTTAATGGCTCAGCTGTCTTTTTTAGCTCAAGAAGGCACTTAATTTAAGAAATGTTCTTGTAACTCACTCAGAACCATATACTTACCCCTAACGCAGTAACTCAAATTCATACATCCTTAATGGTTCCTATTTAACCTTTATTATTCTAAAGGACAATCATGACAACATTCTTTAGAAAGTTTTTTAGTGACTAAAAAGGTGATGTCTCTTTGCTCACAAATACTTGTCTTTCACAGTAGTAGGAACACTTGACAGCATGTGTGTGTCTCCACTGAAAGTGTTGTTAGGGGTTTTCAGAGTTAGTCAATGAGGGATTTGTTTTTTCTTTTGTAGTTTCAGACCACTTTCATTATTGATGTTCTCACTGCATTAATATGCTTTTTTACAGGGTTGATTTTTCATTCGTGAGTATTAATAGCTTTTCCATTTTTTTATTCAGATGACATGAAAATGGAGACTGACATTAAGAGAAACAAAAAGACTCTTCTAGACCAGCATGGACAGTACCCCATATGGATGAACCAGAGGCAAAGAAAAAGGCTGAAGGCAAAGTGAGAAAAAGGAAAGGGGAAAAGCAAAGCAAAAGCAGCGAAGGCGGCTAAAGGTTTGGCCTGGTAGACTTTTAAAAACTTGAAAAGTGCCACACGGGGCAGATCTTTGATTAGAATGTATACACCTATTTCAGCTTCTGTCAAATGAAAACCATTTTTTAACTGGGCCTTTCTCTTCAATTCAAACCCAACATAACACCTCAAATTTGTTTTAGAAATTTGAATAAAATATTTCCTTTGATGAATGAAAGCAACACTTATATTTTAATTGGACGCTATCTGATATACAGGGATTCGATTTCAGACATCAAGATTCTATCAAATATTAATGTGGTTGTGGTTTTTGGTATTAGTAAAGATAAGTGATACTATACTAACTCAGATTAAAGAAGACTAATTATATAATGTTATTTT